CCCACTCACACATGCACACAGTTAGTTTTATATATAAGATAAATGCAGGTTCACTGAACTATTGCTCATTCACACACAAATTACACTTTTTTCCAACCTTCACTTCCACCTCCACACCTATTTAAAATTATATTCGGGACTACACTCTCAACGTTCAAAATGACCTGTCAACGCCTATGGTCTAGCCTGCAGCTCACCCTGGTGTCACATCTACAACTTAGTTAAAACTTGGAGTACTTACATGCCTTACACAGAGTAATAATTCCTGGTGGGCTCCAGTCACGAGTGACCCCAAGAATCTTTACTGCCAGTAAAACCAGATCAAACTGGTTCTTCCAGTACAGGGTAGAAAGTTTTGTGTTAAAATCTTGACACTTTTTAATTATGTGTAACTTAAATAAACAAAAAAAGCTGATACATTTTTTTGACCATACACATTTTAAATCTAAGTAGTATGAACTGTAGCAGTGAGGGGTTGTATGGACTAAGTTCAACACTTCAGTGGTGTTGTCAGTGTTATAGAAGCTTTTGTTGATAGAAGAAATCCAGCAGGTAATAAAAAACGAATGAGCTGTTGCCTGCAAGCATTAAAAATATAACACTTTTTTAGATTTAAAGAAATGGCACTAGTGGGAGATTAAGGTGGTTTGAGCCAGGACCCCGATGAAAAATGTGGTCTAGGGTTAAGGAACCAGACCTCATTAAAATATTCCAGCATTCTTGTCATGCATGCAGCAGTAACAAACAGGCCCACAACCCTTCATTTAGGAAATGTTTAATGGGAGCATTAACACTCACGCGGGAGGCTGCTGTCATTGCTGCTGGAGTACATCAGCGTGGACCGGATCCATTTCTAACCCACCCTGAATACAAATGGCGTGTTTAAGGAGTTGTTTGAAGAATTAAGGTATTTCAAATGACCTAGAGTGCTTGGAAAACATCTTGCACAGCCTCATTTTTCAAAGATCCCCAATGGGCTATAATGGGCTATAGATGGTATATTATTTTGACGTTTAAAATGTGTCTTAAATCCCCACTTTAGCGCCATTCATTCACTTTATTCATTCATTGTAAAAGGCCCAGCCTATTAAAGTAGAAACCCGCAGATGATGAATCATATATGTGCTTTTCTCAGATTTGTGAGATGTTCAGACCTTGTTATTTTGAATAGTTTGTCCAGTGTTTACCACGCCCCAGGGTTTGCCGACAGCCTCATACGTTCTTGTATAACGGTATTACCTTTGTTTTTCAACATTCCCCGAATATCAATAGGTGGACTAGTGGTTTCAAGCAAATTGGTGTGGTTTTAAAGTTTGTTTCTCTAAAGTATGTATCTCTACAATTCTTCCAACCCATTTTCTATGCATGTAACTTCCCTCGTGCCTTCATGAAAACAGTCATCAAAGACCCCTTGTGAACTTTAGTTTGCAATGATTGCCACACGGCCAGGCCAGAGGAATTCATTTTGCTGCAGCTGAAGCATTTCTTTCTTGCGTGTTGTCATTTGGATTTACTGAGTGTATGTAATTTTCTTTTCCCTGTAGTTATTTGCAGCATCAGGCAACTGCAGACAAAGACGGCTCCCATCATTCTTGATGGTGCCACATGCAAATTATTGAAGCTGCTGATACTGACTATATGTGCCTTCCCTCAGGAGTCTTTGTTTTCAGTGATAGTGGTGTTGGACACTTCTTTTGATGAATGTGATATAGCCTTTTTTCTGTTGCCTGATCCATATCTGTAGCAGGATCACAACAGGGTGGCATTCACTTGGTGCTATTTAAATATGCACACTGTATTTTCACAGCAAAAAGTAATTACCACTTTAATTTTAGGCCTTAGTGTAATAACCATACAACCCAGAGGTGTGGGCTCAAGTCACGTAGCATGTAGCTTACTCTGATACCCACTGTTTGAAAGGAAATCTTATTTAACAGTAAATAGATCAGTTCCTGCTTATCCTTGCACCTCTTGATCGATTGACTCAGTAGCATTTGTTTTGTTTTGTTTTGAAAGTCAGCCTACATCTCATTTCAGAGTAATTGTACTTGTTGTCGTAGTGTCCATGCTGAGGCTATCCATTAATCACACAGATTCATATGCAGGCATTGTGTGATTTTCAGATATTTCACATATTAAAAGTACGACATCAAATGTGAAAACATCATTTTCTAATGGTGACAAAACAAATCCTATCAACGTGTACTTTTTCTGGTCCTTTTGAATATATCACATTGTCCTCATCAGTACATTGAGTTTGTTCGGTTGCCGTGGAAATGTAGATGCAAAATGCCTCTAGGACTTCTCATCCGTATTGACTTAAAAGTGGAGCTTGGCAGATCATTCGTGACCTTGAAATTTCACACACATATTTAACTTTTTGTATTGTCAGGAACAAATATTTCACATGTCATGGTAAACTGTTGTTAATATGCCATCCATGCTGACCAAACCCCGGTTTGAGTCCGGCCAGATACCTCTGTTGTATGTCATCCTCCCATCTCTGTCCCCTTACTTCCTGTCAGCTCTCTTCTGCTGCCCTTTTAAAAAAGTTTAGATTGCCCAGAAAATTTGTCACACATTAGGACATGAATTTCATATGTGTAGTTTTTGTTAATCGTACTCCAGATCATGAATAATGTTATTAAAATGTTGTTGTTTACATTCCAAGCTGTTTAAGACTCAAACCCAAAGTTTCAAACTTGGGACTTGATTTGAACTTGAGTGTCAAGACTTCAGACTTCTTAATGACGTGCAAAACAACAACCTGGACATCTTCCATTATCAAAACAAGACCACTGCCAACAATTGCCTCCAAGACTGGCAAACTCTACTGTACCAAGATGCCAGGGAGGCAGAGAATGGATGGACAACAACAGGATTTACGAGACATCATCTTCATTTTGAGGCCTAACAGTAACTTTGGCATTAGATAGCACGTTCTATTTGTCTCAACCTTGGTCTTGTTTGTTTATAGTCATTATGGAGTGCTGTGATAATGAATTAGATGATGTTTTCCAAGGCTTTCAAGGCATTGTAAATAATACCACAATGTGAGATGGGAAATAGGAACTCTGATACAATGTAATGTAGTTAGTCATCTCAAACACACTCCAAAAGCACCAAATTGTGATGATTATCTGCACCAGACTTTGCTAAAGCTGCTTTATTTTGTGATTATTAGACTGAATTATTGTCTTTTCATTAACTCCTCTCAATCCTCCCATCGCTCACTCTCTCTTGCTTATTTTCCTCCTCTCACAAACACAACCTCTAACCTCCCACACTCTTTTCCTCGCCTCCTTAACTCTTTTATTTTCCTTTCTGTTGCAGTCTCTCCATCCTACATTCTTTCACTTCTGCAACGTGACACATTTTGAATCCTCATGCGCAGCAAGGTCTCTTGGCCTGCAGTGGGCCTTTGCTACAGTGCAGCAGAATTGCTCACTGGCTGCATTATCCAGTAACATGCTCTAAAAAAGGAAAGAAAGTGTAATCGGGCGGGCAGCCCGTGTGCACTGAAGCTTCAGCTTGTACGGTTGTATCAGAGACTCTAATAAGAACAGACAATATTCTTCTGGGGGAGAAAAAATATCAACCTTATTTTCAGGTACAGACTCAGGAAGGTAAACTTTCACTGACCTGAGCCAAGAGTTGTGAAACTCCTTGACAGAGACAGAGAGAGCCTTACTGTCTCATTGCGTTTTTCTCTACCTTTAACTGAATGAGTAACTGAGTGTGCAGTCTGAGCGTCTGCTGTGGAGTTAACTTGCTTACCTGAGTACAGCAGCAACTGCATGTCCTGAAGCAACTCTGTCAGTCTCCTACAAACACAGGCCCACACTATTAAGTCCAGATGACGTTCAGGCCAGAGAGCTAATGTGAACTGGAAGAAAAGTGCACAATACAGTACCTAAGATTAGTTTTAGTTCAGTGTTTTATTGTATCAAGTTACTTTTGAAGATGATAAAAAAAACATCAGGCAATTTCTTCTGATTAGGTTTGTTGGTTTCAGGTCACTGCACTTTCTTAAAATCTTAAAGGGGTACTCGTTTTGCAGTTTTTTGTTGTTGTTTTTTAAGTGGGGGACACAACACAGTTTTATAAAATTAATGGTCAAAATTGATGCATCAGAAGACCGGATATCCTGACTTTTAGTCCTTAGTAGTCAAACTCCAAAAGCACTGGATCCTACATTTCCCATAATGCATAATCAGGGCTTGTTTTCTGAACATTGTTTCCTAAAGAGCCTCAGAAACATATATGCAGTTGTTTTTACAGGCTGGGTGTATCATAATGAGTTGACTTCTTGTATAAAACTGATGAAAAAAAAAAAAAACTATTTATTGAAATATTTGCTAAAGCATATTTTTATTACTTTACTTTACTTTACTTTAAATTTGTAATGATGGACGATTCTCTTTTTCCTTATTTCCTGCTATTTATTTCTTTGGACAAAAAAATGGTCAATTCTCTCCCAGAATGATGCATTCTAAAATGTGCAGCCAATTTGCTTAATTTGAAAAAATGAATTAAAGAACAACCATTCATGCGACAAATATGCAACTTTCAGAAGCATGTAACCTCACATAATGAGAAACAGTTTTGATTTTAATATTAACTCAGTGTTATTTGATTACTCTAAAAACTGTCCATGCATCCAAATCTTAACCACCATAAGAATCACAAATGCCTAAATCTACACTCACATTCACATTTATGAGTTACTTGGAGTCTCCCAGACAAAGAGCAAGAAAGAAAACATGTAAACTTCACACAGAAGCCTTAACTTTGTTGTTGTGAAGTGACACTGCGAACAACTGTTCATTAATTGAGTTAATATTATTATTATTGTTGTTGTTGTTACTGTGGTGTTCCCTGATCCTGGTTTTAAGATGAATAACTTTTTCCTGCTAGTTATGAGCTATAATTTGACTTTCCATCAATAGCACAGAATGGTCCAGTCACATCCACAATGATGCATACTGAACTGTGGACAATTATAAAGGGTTTAAGAACTCATTAAGGACATGCAGGTATGCAACTTCTAGAAGCATGTAAGCCTGCATAAACTGTTTTAAATTAGAGCAGAATTTTATTAATTATCATCCTCAAATATTTGTCAATTCATATTTGAGACAGAATCCATATACAAGAACCCCCAAATGGCTAAATTGCTTCAGTAAAATCAGGTTGTTGTAATGTTACTTGTAGATACATGCTATTGATATTATGCTATTTGTTGTGTTAATATTTTATTGACTGCATACATGCGGTTTGTACTTATGCAATGCGTGTTTCACTGACTAATGTAATCATTTACTCGCAATCACAAACGCAGATGTGATGAGTCCCTGACCCAAGCTTAATCAGAGTGAAAGAGGTTAATGAGGTTAAGTTTAAGTTGCTTGAATGAACAACTACAGGCGGGTACCTCCAATGACCCATGGAAGCCTTATGGGAGGCCCTTTTATTCCTAAACATCATATAACCTGCCAGTGCAAAGTTATAACTAGAGCAGAGTGAGGAGGTATTTAAGGGAATGATGAGGTGTTTAAAGGTAGTTTGCTAATAATAATCAAACCCAGTTGGTTCACAGGTGAAAAAGTGCACGCAACAATGCATTTTGCTGTTAAGTCAGTGTATTCTGAGCTTTTATGATACCTCGGGACAGAAGTGCTTAGCCTAATAATCGGACCTGTTCCTTGAATCAATGAGTGGGATATATACCTTGTTGGTGGCTGGCAGCCCTGCTGCCTCTCCTGAATCTCAAGTCATTCAGTTAGTTAATTCAAAGCTAAGATTAAGCAGAGGACTGCTTTTTAAGTAGGATCTGGCAGATTGTCAAGCCTGCTGAGGGAAGTTGGGTAACTCATACATCTTGTTGTAGAACAGATTGTGCTCGGTGGGGGATGCACCTGGCATGTTTAACCCTGCTGCCCAGGGCTCCTCTGAAATAAGAAGGGCATCAGTCCAAAAATCTGCTTTTTGGTGCCTATCATTCCTTTCCTGCTGGCTCGGAGGACTTTTTCCTCATCGCCACTACATTAGATCAGACAATGTGATAGATTTGCGTGGAGTGGTGCCGAGTTTCTCATCAGTGTTATGATGTCAAATTATAAAATGAGTAGAGATCCTTAAGAACAGAAGGCCCAAATTGAGACGTAGCATCATGCCACAGTGCTGAGCATAATTTAGCAGCAGCTGCTTGGTTTAAAGAAGTGACAAGTTATGATTGGTGATGGTTTTAACTTTTTAACATTATGCATGAGGTGTCCAATTACAGACACATTTGGCCAATTCTTGGTGGTGACTTTAGCTTCTCAAGTTTTTCACATTAGTTGCCTTTTTGCAGGAAACTCCATCCAACACATTCATGGGTGGTTTAGGATAGCACTGCATTTCTGCTGCATTTTCATTCTCTATTTTAATTATTTTTCCCCTTTTCTTACCATCAAAGGAGCACCAGAGACAGCGACGCAGATGACGAAGACGACGAGCGCCGGGTGAGTCGAGGCTGCACCCTGCAGTACCAGCGGGCCCTGGTCAAGGTGTTGACCCAGTTCCACACCACCTCCACAGAGGGTACCGACCAGGTCATCACCATGCTGGGGCCCGACTGGCAGGTTGATGTCACAGACCTGGTCCAGGACTCCCTGAAGGTGGCCGACCCCAGGATAGCTGAGTTGGTGGACAGGACGGTCCTGGTGGGTCTGGAGCTGGGATCCACTGTGCTAAAGGTAAACTGTCCGCCTTCATGCCTCAATACTGAGATATCACATAAATCAGCAGTGAAAAATTAAGTGTCTTGTGATGACAAATGATGCATCTGAGTGAGAAGCGCAAAATAAGACATGGTGTTCCTTGAATGTGCCCTCCACAGTTACCACACACAAAATGAAGATTGAGTTAAAGAGATGAGGAAGAAAGATTTAAAACTTAGAGCTCATTACTCTTTCTGAGTTTACAGCAGCTGTTGCCAGCTGGTTCTTTTAGAGACTGTTGATGCCTTGATAATAAAGGATAATGCAGGTTTATTACAACTTGAGTTTCGCAGTTTTAGCCATCATCTCTTTTGCTTGTGATAACATTGTTTTTACCAAAATATATTGCTGAATTTGTGAACAGTGAAGCCGCTTCAACAAAGTCAGATGGGGTCAAGAAAAACGAGCAGTCTGGCAATCAGACAGGTTGTAAACAAGCCAACACTTTAGCCAGATTATCTCAAGTGAGTGCACCTGAAATGTCTGTAATAATCCTTCATTACACAGGAAAAGTGAGGAAACTACGGTAGATCAAAGTTAAACCCAGAAGACGATCAATAAACTGTGATGGATGGTTGCAACACAAAGTTTGGGTAGTAATTCTACAGTTCATCTTTGTTTTCTCTTCAAAGTAGGTTTGGCTCACCTGGGGGTTTGTTTAAGACTTGTCTGATAGTTTGATTGCTTGTGTTTCTGTTAACTATGTTCCCAGATCTTAGAAATTAACTTGTGGAGCACAATTATCACTAGTAAAAATTGCCTATATAACTATGAATAATACATGTTCACCTCATGTAGTGAAAGAAAACACTCTTAATCTTATGTGTATGTGGCTGTTGATGTCCACTTCCCTCAAGTAAAAGAGCTCCCTGACACTAAGCGCATATAAATGCATCAGCCGAGACAGGTTCAAAAGTCCTTTTAAAGGAAGCGGCACAAGTTATGACTGCTGGGCAGTGATTTACCGACGCTTCACTGGTCATTTATGGGGACAGAGAGAAGTAACGGTTGGTGAGAGTTTTGATCACCATGAAAGATCACAGTTTCAGCCTGTCAGGAGAAAGAATAGTTGCCTGATTGATGTCTCTGATGATGGCGAAATAGACAGGAAAGATATAAGTCGCCAATCCATCATTTTAAATGAGCAATGTATCATTTGTAATCTGTTGAAGGGCATGAATAATTATACATCAATTTACCACCAGACGTAACTTGTCACACTGACTCATAGCAATTGTAAATAAATAAATAAGGTGTTCAGAAATGATTTCATCCCTTAAACAACTTTTATTATGGATTGCTCTAGAACAACATGCTAAGGCTGGTAAGGAAATGTTCATCTTAGTTTAGCGTTTTAGTGCGCTACCATTTGCTAATTAAAACCCAAAGTACAGCGAAGTCAAATAGTTAGATAGTTAGTTAGTTTTGTAAATATTTAGTCAGAAATATTTGAGAAATATTTGACTAATTAAAATTTTGACCGGACGATGACACAAGATGAAAAGTAAGGGATCACAGACATTATAGTTCACCCTGAGGGGAGATGAATGTGTGTACCAAATTACGTGGCAATCTATGCAACAGCTGGAGAGACGCCTCACTCAAAACCACAAATGTGAACATCTTGGAAAAGTCAGGATATCACCAAAGACATTCACGATCTGGGAGCCATGAATGTACAAACGTTTATGCTAATCCATATAGCAGTAGTTGAGATATCTCAGTGGATAGGTGAAAACTTTGACCCGCTTTCGGCACTACATGAAAAATCAAAGGATCGTTAAAGTTTTTATGAGTCATCCTCTGGTTAACATGAATGTCTGTACAACATTTCATAGCAATCCAAGGACAATTTAGATATTTCAGCCTGTACCAAAGTGGGTGAAATGACATGCGTATTACAGGTGGATGTCATTCCTCATTCACTCAGTCATACATCAAAGTTCCCAGCAGGGCACCACTTTCGTTATATTTAAGGCAAATGATCACTGGTCACTGGCCAAATTAAAACTCCAGCTGCCTCCTCCCCTGCAGGTGTGAATGAAGAAATAAAATGTGCAAGGCAAGAAAGAAATCCCTTAAAGTCTAAAGTTAAACAGAAGTTAGATCCCTGCAGAATCATTATCCTTTCAACATGAATGATTGATGGCTTACAAAACTGAAATTACAAATAAGTTACAGTAAAAGAGCCTAATTTCGCAGAGTCCATTTTACAATGAACTGTGATATTATTATGCTGATTTTCTGAAAATGAATAGTGTGTAGCTCAACAATGGTCCTCTTACTGAAATTGTTAGTGTGTCAGAGGATTTGAATCAGTCTTTGAATTTTAGTGGACTGATTCAAACTGTCCACTAGCTCATGAACATGAAAGAAAGGAGCAGCTTTTGTCCATTTAGTTCAATATTTCAGCCAGTCATAGGATTTCTCTCTTTTTGGAACGATGGTTGGGGAGTTTTGCATGAGTAAAGTATTTCTCATTTAAAATTGACAGGTCAGTTTAATTGAAGACACAAAAAAAAATATCTGAGGTTTAAAGTTGAAATGATAAAGATCATCTCTCAAAGAGATCTTAATTATTCTGTAAAAGGTATGTGTATGTCCTGTGATCACAAGGCAGAATGATTTCCAATAATTCACCAAACCTGGTGGGAGTTGGGAGGGGGGGGTTAATCCAGAGGATTTCTGAACAATGGATGCTTCTCAAAGCGAAAAGCCAAACTTGGGCAGAATTCAGGGCAGTCCTCTGATCAGAGATCATTTCATTGATATCTGCAAACATCAACCACTCTTCCAAAGACAGGCAGAGAAGAAAAATAGA